CATGCTTCATCATGGTTTTAGTTGTGGTATACCAATATTAGTTCCAATATCAAAATATTCACTACAGGTACACCAGATACTTAAAACCACACTCCTCTCCTTACCATTATATAATACCAATACAATCCAGTTAAGAGGAGTATTGCCAGACCCTCCATCCCACAATTCTATGAATTCCTTGTCATCTGAGCCAGGGGAGTCTGCATTGATTTCATTGATCAAAACTGTGGGCCTGTCGCAGTTGTTTGGAGCCCCTAAGGGAAAACATAAAAAAAATCTTCATATTTATATACTCTCCTCTAATATCAAATTCATTATTTCATATCTTTCATCATTAATATCTGATTAAATGATTGACTAAGCTCTCTTCTTGATTAATATACAGTTAAAGGAGAGTTGAGATACCTACCTACTACTACTACTTTAGTCAAAAATTAAAGGCAGCAAATTTGTCAAAAATATTTTGTTACCTCTACCCTTTAAAAAGATTTTGTGCCTCCCTTGAAAATTCCACACCTACATTTAAACTATTAACCTAAATTCAACAGTGACCCAACATTATTCATAACAGATAAAGTCTGGCCTAATAGATCCTTTTTTACATTACCTGGTGTTGGAATGGTCACACTAAAAGCCATCATGTCACCAATGATATGGGGAGAGCAGCGAGAGATGGACTCGTCACGGTCAAGGTTTTGATCATTCTCATATATTTGCTTCTGCCCAGTGGCAAAAATGTCCAAGAGACTTGTTGAACTATTCACAGAGGTAGAGATATTGCCGTATACAATAAAATCTACCACACTCCCATTACTGAAAGCCTGGGTTTGGTCTTTCACAAAACCTGACGCATTTAATTTGTACAACACCAAAGCATTTAGGCCATCACTTCTTAAGATATTGTCTGGTTGAGATAGGTCAGCACCTTGGACGTTTGAATTTCCTATCAAGAAGAAACCTTTTGCGTTGACCCTGAAAATTCAAAGATATAAATATACCTGACTAAAATATCACTCCAAGTAAAAATGAAATGAATAATACTAATAAATCTAAAAGTATGTTCAGTTCGAATGTATACCACCTAAATGGTAATTCCACAGTACTTTCCTTTCGGTCATATCAAATCTGCAATAACAATTTTAATCTCTTTACATCAAATGTATCTTTTAAATATCCTAAACAATAAAAAAAAAAATACAGTACGTTTTCAAAAATGATAACAATAATGTGCAAATATTAACTGCCATCCCATCTCAACTCTCTTGAACAAATGTGGTGAAGTAAAAGGCAGAAAAATAAGTTATGGAAGATTTTGAAATGGTTAGGAATGTGGAATATCTTTAATTTCAAAAATTAAATCATCTACATACTTCTGTCCTGTCAAGTCCAGGATATATGAAGCCTTGTTTGCATTCTGGCCACTGTATGCTACTAGAGTCAGTCCATCCAGGGAGGTGCTGGAGTTTCCGATCAGTTCTATGTAAACCATCTTATTGGCATCTGGAGAATCTGTATTCAGTTCATTTAACCTCACATCTGAAATAAAACATTAACAAAGCTTAGTCCATTTCACAGCGAAAGCCTGAGAAGTATGCATTTTTTTTAATATCATAAGAATTATATCCTGAGAATTTCGGTAACATGGGTGTGTGGAAAAGGAAAAGCGACTTTACACAGTCATCATCATGCACAAAGCTTAAGTCAAGAGCTTGTATCGACTTATTGTTTGTCAAATATGGTCCCTCCAGCATTTACACATGATTCTTGACATTGGGTTAAAAAACCAGACAGCAAGTTTAAAGTAAGAAGTATTCAAAAGTAGACTGTTTGTCTTTAAAGAACAATTGACAAAAACATTTCTGAACTGTGTTACATTTGAGTGGACATAAGTGAAATCCTTTGAGGAGTTATTTAAAAAACTGAGGATGACTACTTTAATTTAATAAAATATGACTTTAAGAAAAGCAACAAAATATGAGCATACTAGGGACCCCAGCAGGGACAGGTCCTGAAGCTGGAGGTACCCTGGGCGCCAAGCTACAGTTGTTGATGGCTTTGGGTGTTGGCTGTGACAGGACATAACTGACTGCCCCAGGGGATGCCTTGTGGTCACACCTACTAATGGACATCTCCCCTGCTGAGGTAACATTCTCCACTACCTGTGAAACATAAATGTTTTTTTTCCCTTTACAAATACAAAGTACAGTTAATATTATACATGTCAAACAGAAAGATTACAGAACAATCCACAAAGTCAACATAAACAAAGTTAATTTCATTTAAAAAATATATTAGGGCAAAGGAATTAAATTATCTTCATTTTTAAAATGTTGATTTCAGCAAATTAAGTAAGAATCTTTTTTTGAAAAAATCTTACAAATTGCTTTTGTTTACCAATAAGTCTCAAGAGAGTATATGAACAGAATACAGTTATGTTAACAAGCTCTAGCCCCATTAAAAAAAAAGATTTCTCACCATGCTTCTCCCAGGAGTCAGTGTATTTAGTAGTTGTTGTATGTTGGCATTTAAAGCTCCTCTGCCATACACAATAGCATCCATCAAACCTTCACTGCTCACTTGTGTTCCATTTACAAAATCATACAGATCTCTTTTATAGTACAAAGCCACTGCTCCTTGCACATTCTGAAATTTTATATTTATTTAATGGGTAATTGAAATGGATTGATCTTTGGAAATGAACATATACATACTGTTGTGATTGATTTTTAAAAAGTTTAATTACATTTTAATTACATCTGTTGCGTAGGTGCACAGTGTGACAGATTCCTATGAATTGTTTGTACCAAGCAAAATCTAAAATTCAACAACAAAGTTGTACATGACTCACAGAGGAGAGAACAATCTGAAATCACAAATTATATCTTACCCTTAAGAATCCTGTTCCTCCACCATTAACAGGAATATCAGGGGGTGGCATTATGTTTGATGAACCAATCAGAAAAAGACCATTGCCATCACTATAAACCTGATCCAATTTAAACGCTCTATATGCCCTCATGGTGGTCGCACTGTACAATACCAGCACAATGTTACTGAGGGGGAAATTGGGCCTTCCCATTGTACTGAGTTCAATGAACTCTCTTTTGTCATATCCATTTTGGTCAATGTCCACTTCATTTATGACCACTGTTGGAGATGGACATATGTTAGGTTTACCAGGAGAAGCAGCAGTGGAGGTGCTGAATGCAGTCAACATTCTTGCTTCATTGGTGTAGCATCTGACTAGACTTTTATTATCTATTTTATGAAAAATTAAAATCACACCTTACATTATACTAAAAAGGAAACTAAAACAACAATTATCTAGAACTAATTAAAAGATTAAAAGGGAGCTGACCAACATCTACGCATTCTAAAATCTTTCATTACATACTAAAATTCACTCCCTCAACACAAATCTTGCTTACTCTTGCATGCATTCCTCTCACCTACTGATATTCTGATCATATCATTACATATTTCAAACATTTTTTCTGTCTTTACATAAAAATAAATGTAGAAGTCAGGATACCTGAAGAAGTTCCCCAGTCAACAACGATAGCCTGCTGTCCAGGAGTGAGAACATCAATTAGAGAAACAGCCTGTGTAACTTCCTCACTGTTCTTGGTGTAAACTACAGCATCAATTAGCCCAGACCTAGACACCTTTAAAAAGAAGTCAACAAATACATAGGCATGTATCAGTGTATCATTTCAAGCTCTCCAAAAAAGTCATTTTCATAATTTTGTTGAGAGAGAAAGAGAGAGAGAGAGAATAAGGGGTAAAACATGATTGCATAGAGTTATACCCTTTGTCAGTGACTGATGAATTATTAAATACTGGTTGTAGATGGATAATGCATATTACTGCACTGTACCTGAGTGAATTGTTCTTTACTTCCACGACTTAGGGCCACTGCATTAGGACCTCTTTGCAGCCAACTGCCAGTGACATTTGTAAAATCAGCATTGGAGCCAATTACAAAATATCCATCTCTGTTAGTAGAATAAGTGCCCAAATCAAACACACTGTAGGATCTGAAGTAAATTATTATGAAACTACCTTATCAAAATATTCATAATGATAAAGTATTAAAATGTAAAAACATTTAAAATTAAATGTTCTTATATACAGATTTCATACTGGAACTATTTAATTTTGGTTGGGCCTAGTACTAGTATTTGGCAGCGTTCACATGAAAAATCTAAAAATTCTAAAAATCCAAAAATCCATTGGCGGTATCTAGTGATCACGGTCTGTGCCCTTTTGTGCAACAACAAGACGAAGAAGATGAGGTCCATATACACACGACAGATATGAGTGCAAACTGATGAAATCCACAGTTTAGAGATAAAACTGCACATGCATCCAGGCATCAGAATCTCCTCCGAATGCAGCCAAGAATTAATTACAGCTTTGGAAACGACTCGCTCGCACTGCGGGGTATTCAGGGCACAGACCGTGATCACTAGATACCGCCAATGGATTTTTTGGATTTTTAGAGTTTGGATTTTTCATGTGAACAGTGCCTTTATCTGAGGCCTCAGACTTCTATTTTAAAAGTCTGTTAAGGCCAAAAGAACAGGGAGCTAAAAGTTGCAGAATGAAATAGTTAATTTTTTTAAATAAAGCAGATTTAGACAAATAGAGATGTATAATACAAGGTAAAAATTATACATAAATACTATATGGTCTTACATATTGTCAGCAGTGTACAAGATTAACAGCAATCCCTTCAATTGGATGTTGCCAATGCCACCATCATACAGCTCTATAAACAACATATTACCATCATCATTGGACTGACCTGCCTTCAGCTCATTGATTCTAATCTAAAATGCAGATCCAGAATAATCAGCATCATATTTGCTTTATTCAATCTGTTAAACAATATCATGTGTTTATTCACAAATTATTCACAAACTAATATGTGCAAGAAAAGGTGTAAGATAATACAGTCTAAGAACCAGTCATCTCAAAATAAATGCAAACAGTAACTTGAAAATATAAGAATACAGATCTTAAGAACACAAATCTTAAGTAAAGAAAAATCAAAACCACCAGTGTATTTTCCATTAATTCAGTTTTTTTGTCCTCATTTATAAAAAAATATCTTTCTTTCAATAAATTTAAAGTACTTCAGCGTGTCGAGTTCATCCAAAATCAAACAGAAGGACAACACTTACTCCATTCTGCAGATGTACTAGTGTGTCCACCACCGTTTCATTGGTTCTGATGCAAGCATCATTGCTACGGCCTGGTGTGGGTTTTGCTACTCCCCACACTGAGACATTACGCTGACTACAACAACTGCATCGAGACACAGACACATCAGTAAGACTCAGTGACTTGGGAACTCTATCTAGCACCTGACCATCTCCTGGAATAAGAATTGGAAACAATCACAATGTTTTGGCTCTGGTGAGATAATATTAAATAATATTTGAGGAAAGGAATGCATACAAAGAGAGCAATATTGCATGCTCTGGATCCAAGCAGAATTGCTAACAGCTATCTAGAAACAAGTATGTCTAAAAACTTCAAATTTTATGTTTAAATAATTCATTTAAATGGAATTAACTTCCTTTACTTATCAGTTTCACCATTGTAAAAACCTTAGTATGAAATTTTAATTCATGAGAGAGAGAGAGAGAGAGAGAGAGAGAGAGAGAGAGAGAGAGAGAGAGAGAGAGCTCAGACATTATTCTTTAATTTACCTTTAACTAAAATCCTGATAAGTTCTGGATCTACATTATTTGCTGAAGTGCCATACACAATGGCATCCACAAGATTATTTGCAGTGGCAGCTGCACCAGAACCATATCTAGATGCTGGGGACAGGTAAAGTGCTACAGCATCTGGACCATTCTGTAAAAAATCACTTGGCTGTACCAACGCAGCATTAGTTGTTTGGTTCCCTATCACAAAATACCCATCTGTGTCGGTTGTGTACCCTGACAAATCAATGGCCTTGTAAGCTGTATCAGAACGTCCATTGAAGAGCACAAGGGAGAGTCCATCCAAACGAGTGTTTCCTTTACCCCCATCGAATAATTCCACAAAATCACTGGTGTCTACCCCAGGTTGATCAGCATTAATTTCATTAATCACAACAGATGTTGGCAGAGGACATTTGTTTTCTTGCCCAGGCGTTGCTGTGGTCAACCGGTATGGGGTGGTCATGCGGGTCATCATGCCGTAACAACGACTGACCGTCTCCTCACCAGACATGTGAGTGGCATTTTCAACAAATGCTTTTTGGCCCTCTCTCAGAAGCTGCAGTGTAGGTGTTACATCAGTTGGGTTCCTGATGGTGTATACCAAAACATCAACGAGCCCTAGGCTAGTTATGTTCATTCTTAAATCAATCTTGGCCGTCCCTGGGCCATATAATGCAACAGCACCACCACTGTTTCTTATAACATGTGTTCCACCAAAGACAATATCAGGCCTTGGACTCACACCTGTACCACCGATCACAAAGTAGCCAGCCTCGTTAGTCATGTTTCCAGTCAAGTTCCATACTTTATATGACAAGCCACTACTATCATAGAGAACTACTTGGTAACCTGAAAGTGGAGTTTCTCCTATGCCTCCATCAAACAGCTCTAAGTATTCTTGGTTCTCTGTGCTAGGGTTATCTGCATTGAGCTCATTAATCACGATCAAAGAGGGTGCCACTGGAGAGACAGAACTGGTAGGTGCTAGGGTACTAGTAGGCAACTCTGTTGGAGGGACATAACTGCAGTTGTTCTTCTTCCCTGGAGTCGGAACGGTTAATTTGAAATGGCTTAAATTGCAAAGACTCACAGACTCATCCTGGGCCATAAAGTTTTCATCTTCAAAATGAATGGTCTGCACTCCAAGGGCAGCGGCCAACCCCACATCAGTGGATTTTTCATTTTCATACACTACTGCCTGTATGAGACCCACTATGCTGACTTGCATTCGTTGGGTGTAGTCACTTGGATTTCCTTTATACAGGGCAATGGCATCTTGACCGTTCTGTATAACAACACCAGTTGGTAGTTCAAAGTCCAGATTGGGCACACCTCTCCCCATGACAAAATACCCTTGGGCATTAGTAGAATAATTTGACAAATCAAGTACAAAATAGGCAGTAAGATCGTGGCTGTACAAAGCAATAACATATCCGGTCAAATTTTCCATGGTTCCATTTTTGTGATAAAGTTCGATGAACTCTGCATTGTCTGTCATGGGATTGTCGGCATTAAATTCGCTGATCACAACATCTCCCTTGAGTACTTCAGGGGGAGCAGCCACAGTGGACGGGGGTGAGGTTGGACCAACACAGTCATTCTCTCTCCCTGGGGTCGGGGTGGTTAGCTTAAAAGCTTGCCAAAACAGAGGCTGGTTACGTTGTTCTCCGCATTTGCTCAAGGATTCATCCCCAGGGTATGCATACCAGGTTTCTTGCACTACACTTTGACCTGGGGCTAGGGCAGTCAATGGGGTGGTCACATTTGCTTCACTGGTGTCATAAACGATAGCATCCACAAGCCCTCTGTCAGTCACCTTCATGCCTGGTTGGTAAGAAGTGTCACCATCCAATGTAAGATACAAGGCAATACCATCAATACCATTCTGAATGTTATGCTCAGTCTTGGACAAATTCAAACCTGGTTTCAATGAGCTTGAACCAACCACAAAATATCCACCAGATAGTATCAGATGACCTCCAAGTGGAATGACCTGATATGCTGCACCACTAGACCCATCATAAAAAACAAGCACATAGTTGGTCAGCATCACAGAACTCGTTAAATTGGTGTTGTAAAGTTCTACAAATTCATTTATGTCAGTGCCTGGGTTGTCAATATTGACTTCATTGATTATGATGGTTGCCGTTATTACATCTGCTACAAAAGCTGCAGTTAGCAGTAACCACAGACACACTTCTTGCCTTAAAATTGCTTTCTTACGATGACTGGGAGAAATCATCATCTGAAATGAAATTTTCCAAAATGTGCAGTGATTCCATAGAATCTAAGATAACGGGGAAAATACTTTTTTTACAGAGAAACCAAAGAAATCAATATAATCAAAATATGTAAAATGCAGTAAATAATAACAATAAACTATTTGTACATTAAGTACCCCTTACTTGGTTCAACAGTTAGATATTCTATTAATTATTTACAAAGTGACACAGACAGCAACCTTAAATATTAACACATCCTGGCAAAATGTCAGTGATTTTAGCATGACTAACATCTCTTGTATCTTTGACCACATTCAGATTCACACATTTTAGTGCAGTGTCTGCCCAAATTGGCCTGGGATTCTCATCAAAGTGCAATCAGTGGAATCAGCTTAATTGTCTGACATGCATTGTCTCCTCCAGCAGCTTGGAGGTAATTAAATATTGTGTGCTGATTTATATTTGACTGCACTTTAACAAGAATCCCCTGCAGAGTTGGACCAATCCAGCTAGTAAGATGTGTGAATATGAATGTGCCCATGATATAGCAAAAAAAAAAGAAAGGGTCTCATGATTCTGACTAATTTCTTTTCTCAAAAAGCTCCTCCAGCGGCTAGGGGGTAATTAAATAATGTGTGCTGATTAAACTGATTCCACCAATTGCACTTTAGCAGGAATCCCCTGCAGAATTGGAAAAATCCAGCTAGTATGTACCCTGTGGTATAGCAATAAAAAAAAATCTCATGATGCTGACTAATTTCCTTTCTCAAAAAGAAATAGATTTTCTTGAATTTCCTTGTTTTCATAACCCTTTTTTTCACAAAGATGACATTCAACTTCCTTGATCAATAGTCACATGTATTCACTGTTAAACACCGAATGGAAAAACAAAGCAAACAAACATTCCCACAGGGCAAAGCATTTACTACTATGATATTCACGCTGTCTAGGAAGGACAATATGTATTTCAAAATATTTCATACAATGATGCCACTTTATTGCACCATTAATTTACCTTATACTGACTTCACATTATTATTCCTTGCCATACTTACTTTTGTTTCACCTAATGGAAAAGATCTACCAATCAGCAAAGCTCATTCACGCTAGTTTTGTTTTCTGAAAAGATGCAGTAAAAGCAGTTAAACACGTTTCTTTGTTTATCATAAAAATAAGAAATAGTATAGCAACAAAAATTACTCTAAAATGGAAGTTAAGACAAGATTAAAAGGCAAATAATCTAGGGTGCATTTTTTTTTTCTTTTACAGTTTGATTTCAGATAAGAAATGAGAAAATATCACTTTAAGTAAAATTACATTTCTTTGTAAATTTTTATTGCCTTAAGGGCAATGCATTTATGATTAATTTTCATTTTGTGTATTGCACGTGATGCATTTATAATTGCATTTATGATTAATTTTCATTTTGTGTATTGCACGTGATGTCATTCTTGTATCTCTACATGATTAGTTTCTTATTTCATGTGATGAGTATGAAGCAAGCTAAGACCCCATTCCCATACCTAGATCAATCTAGCAGGATCAACCCATCTCCAAGGGGATTCTCGCTAAATTGCATTCAGATTCAGCAGCTTAAATGTCTGGCATGCCTACTGAATCTGCTAAACGATAGTTAATTACCCCTAACAGCTTCAGTAGGAATGACAGACATCCAAGACGCTTAAGCTGAATGTAATTTAGCGAGAAACCCTTCGGAGATGGGTCGTTCCTGCTAGATTGATCTAGGTATGGGAAAGGGGTCTAAGCTTCACGTTGGCCAATGTTTTGAACACTATTCATGATAATTTCCCATATATGTTGCAAGTTTCGTAAGTCCACTGTAGACGTCAGAGACAGCTGGTATCTCAAGGATGGGGGCAAGAGGCAATTAGTTATAATTTCATTATTGTGCAATAAAAGAATTTGTAAGTTTGAGTTATTACCCTTTAAATTAGAATTTATCACTTTAGAAGCCACTCTTTGTATTTTTTTACTTATTATGTATTGCCTCATTATTTTAGTTTACAGCAGTGTCTGTCAGTTCAGCACTAGCCAGAAAGCATGGGTTGGGCTAATATTGTGTGAGTATTTACATAGTCATAAAGAAATTCTGTATGTGCAATGCAGATTATTGTATCTTAAACTTTAACTTAAAGTAAGTTTATTAGTTATTTACACAGGTATATTTTGATATAGTATTAATTTATCATTTTCCTAGGTGGTGTATTGTATTTATTATTGTATTTACCTACTTTTACGCCACCACTTCAAAACGTTACACTACGTTGCATCATCATACATACGTGTATGTCAATAAATCCTTAATAACCTTAGTGGCTATGCGTTAGACTAATAATCACCTTTCCTGTTTAAACTTCAGTAAATAGCCACTTGCACATCTGATTGAAAAAGTTATAAACACAAATAAAAGAAGTGCTACTCAATGACTGTTACAGTAATTAATTTTAAACACCCAACTGCCTGCTTAAACAATGTCGTTAAATACCTTTTTAACAATTACTTTCTCCTAAAACACAATGTTAATAATATCCAATCCAGTAAATCTAACATATTATTGAAGATTTTTTTAATCAAAATCTATCAAAAACAAAATATCAAAGTGCAAAATTTAGAGTTAATTGTCTTCAAAGCAGATATATAAATTTCAAACAAAGATGGGTATTTTCCTTTGTAAATATTTTGTATTCTATACTTTGCTCATAATCACCAACATTTCAATATAGAAATTAAGCAAACAGTTGACAACAAAAGGGTTCACCAATATAAACCCATTGCATTTTCTTAAAATTTGTATTAAACTTCAAATAATAATTTGATGTCTCTTTCAATAATATATTGAACAAAGTTTCATTTGTCATTAAAATGGTAACTGAAGATGCTTTATCAGTAACTTTTGGCATCAATATCATGCCTCAAGGGTAACTAAATGACCCAATTTTCATTGCTTAACTAGTCTTCCATACATGTTGCTGTTAAAAGAATAAAATCTTAATCATAATTCTGCTCATCTCACCAATACCAAAATGTGTTATTATACATATGGAAAGGCAGGGGCGGATTTAGGCCGTCTTCTGGGTCTTCCGGAAGACGGTCAGATTTTCAAGTTTACATTGACAGGTATCCAATTTTTCATGTTGGAAGACGGTCAGAATTAGAGGGTGAATCAACAAAGATAATTTGGAAGACTGTCAGAAAATATCTCTGGATCCGCCCCTGAAAGGTCTTACACCTGCAGGATATTCTGCCTTAATGATAAAAGTAAGGATAGTCAACACAGGACAAATTTTACAGCCCTAAACACCTCATCATTCATTTATGCTGAAACACTACCAGTATGCCTTAGACTTACAATGTCAGCCAAAAGACATTGTGCTACGACTACTGTGCCAAGCCCATGAAGATTTCAGCGGGTTCCGTATGCCCAAACATTGATGGTTCACCCAAGTATCTGTGAACAGCTAGCCGATGTTTTTGAGATGTTTGTCATAAATTAGCAAACATTGTCCCCAAATGCTTTGTAATTGTTATTCCAAAATTTCAGAAATGGATTTTAAAAATTGTACATAAACAATCTCTTCTAGATGTCTAATAACCTTCATAAACATGCAGATTTTTAATCTAACAAAGATTCATATAATATAAGCTACAACTAATCAATATGGCCAAAACTTGTTCAGATCCGTGACTGAGTCGAGAAAGACGGGATCCTGCATCAGGCTGCTCAAAATTTCTCAATCATTTGAGTATAAGGTTCACGCAATCATCAACTTCAAAACTTTTCTTGTACACCTGAGTTCGATCTACTTACCTGGTCTCATCAATACAAACAAAAATGAAGTTACTTTCGAGACTGTTTCTTAAGGCAGTACAAGCGCACCTGTTTTCCTTTCAACGATGTCAAGGTCGTTGGCTCATGATTTTGCACGCTAGGGGGCAGAACTACGTGGTTTAGCAAGATGTCCGGAGGAATCGTTTCGTCAAGAGCACCAACGCCAAGAACAGGCCATGTAGCAATTGCATATGATCACTACATGTTCGTTTGGGGTGGCTACCAAGTAGGTTATATCATATATATTTATTATATGAACTAGACGATACAAGAATAGTGCAAACACATCAAATTTGAACACACTGTTAACTTTACTTTAACACATGCCAGTGCTGCTGTCACTGTCACCTTGACTTGAAATTGAAGAGTTAATAAAACTTTTAAAACGTTCTCAAAACCTTCTTTGTTTATCCCCAAATATATCAAATTTTGGTCTTATTTAAGTAAATAAGAAATTATTATTTACGACTTGCCCTGAAGTAGACTTTCAGTTCATATAATATATGATATTCAATTCATTGGTTTAAAATTAGGCACAAATTTAAGTGAAGTGATAAACCTACGAGTAAAATTTCACTATTTTGAGCATGACACCCCACATATGCAAACCCATAACCTCTTCTCATGTCACATGTCTCGTTTCAGAATGAACTCACGGAAAGATACTTATCACCAGATGAACTGTGGATATATGATTCTTACTTGGATAGCTGGTGAGTCAGAGTGGTGATTGAGGTTATAAATAAAAAGAATTTTATGCTTATTCGTTATAGCCAGTATTTTTATTTGTTGATTGCTAGGCTTATGGTAATTTTCTTTATATATGCTGTTTAGATATTTTTGTTTGTCTTGAAAAGAATTGTTTTTCACCAATAGATACACATATTAATGTTAATTTGAAAAGAACTTGACTAAAACCAAAACGGCATGTGTGACTGTGTAATATTGTTCCCAGTGTATGACAACATATTTTATATGAAGTAGACCCTTAAAGGGATAATAACTCTTCGTATGAGGTCTATATTTCACAATAAAAACGTTGTGAATAACTCACAGAAATATAATATAATCTGTTTTACGACAAAAACAGCTGTTATAGCTATTATTCTGATATCTGAGCTTGTCTTCAGACCACATGATCTCCATTGATGGTTATACTCTGTTATAATCTCTTAAGAGATTTTAACAAAAAACCAAACTTTTTAGAAAAAAACCAGGGACTAACTTTGAATGTAAAAATGGACTCATTAACCATTGGTAAGTATGGGGAAATTGTTGTTTACTCCAGGAAAATTCATTTTTTGGCCAAAACAAAGAGTTATTATCCCTTTAACATGATGTAATATGGCCTTGAAATTGTAAATGATGTGGCAAAATTATCACAGTTTAGTAGTACTACCCTCTACCAGGCTGGCAGATATTATAGGCACATTTTCCACACTGTAACATTTGGGCAGATGGAAGCAATTCCTGAGTAGTTATGCAAAAAAAAATACCAGCCATGTAATCAACCTAGAGATTTCAGCACAGGGTCACAGTCATAAGACTGACCATATTTAGACAGAGACATTATTTGTGAATATCTAGTGAAAAATCAGTCTGTGGCCCTGGCAAAGGGTAAGAAGTACCCATCAGAGTTGACGACTCAGTCCTGCAAGTCAGTTACATGTAGCATTTGGTGGTGCTTTCTCCATTATTTTATACTGTATTTATCTTATGGAAATAGAAACTCGATTTAAAAGATTTATTTCATTTAGGCAATTGAGAATCCTAGAACCAGAAGAAGACACTTCAATTAACTGCCCGCCAGGTACATCTGGAGCATCAGCTGTGTTAAAAGGAGATGCAGTATACTTGTTTGGTGGCCACTGTTATGCTGGAAACACAAATGAACTGTATAGACTTAATCTTCAGGAATTTTGCTGGGAGTATGTCCATTCATACAGTTTAAAGCCAAGCCCAAGAGATAAATTATCTATGTGGGAGTATGGAAACAGGTATTTTTATTCATCATCATCATCATCCATTACACCATTGGGTCACTAACAACAAATAATGTTAACAGCAGGATTTTGATAGACTATTATTATTATTATTATTAATGTTTTAAATGGATGTTTGCCCATGTTCATCTTGCATCTTGAAACATTTTAGCCATGAGTGACATGGAATTATTTTTTTAGGAAAAAATAAGAGTTTAGTCTTGTTCAAATATTATCCTAAGGTTCGAAAAATGTGAATACACATGCAACACAGTAATTCACTTATTATTGTATATGTTTTATTAATTTGGTATTTAAGGCTAATTTTTAACTTTTTGATTATAAATGTATTTTAATTGCCAGTATGATCCTTTTGCTGTTCATCATTTTTATATAATAATAATTTTTTTACTTATTTTTAAACTCTGACAATACCTCTCTTTTACAATATTGGTTTTAAGAAATTGTTTACCCTCAACTTTTCAGCTTGTATGTGTTTGGTGGCTTTGGTCCTCCTCTAGAAGGTTATCTAAAGGAACATGGAATCTGGATTCCAGATGAATCCTCAGTAAATACATTGGAATACTTATGTATAAAAGCTTTTTATGCAAGTTGAATATAGAATTATAGAATATGGGAGTTAAATCAAGTAGGTTTATATGCAACTTAAGTTATGGAATATGCACTGTAGTTAGTGTACCTCCTAGTATTTTGTACCTATTTTGTACATCAAGCACCAGCTTTGACTTATCAAATTTTTGCCACATCTCCATCAGCATTCTTATTTCATTTATTAAGTGTCCTCTGGTTGGATGTTTTCCTTCAAGATGTCAAAGTGAGGAAATCAAATAGATTGATAAAAATTTCTAACATGTAATTTTATTGTTTGGATATGACTTTCTTATGTTATGTTATGATTCAAGTCAATAACAGAAACTTAACCCTTTCAGTCTTCCTACAGAGGTTGGAACAACCAACTACTGGTTTTCGACCTGAAAACACGAATGTGGTCAAATCCTAAATGTAGTGTAAGTATCAAGCCACTTTGTTTTCATGGTAGGAAAGTACTTATTAGATCAAAATTCCATTCATTTCTCTGTTTTTTTTTTTTTTTTTTTTTTTTTACAAATGTTATATACAGTATTACATATAATATCTAACATTTAAAAATATATACATTTCAAACCATAACTTAAAAATGGTCTTATTATTACCTCCGCCAAGGAGGTTGTTTTCACCCCTGTTTGCCTGTCTGTTTGTTTGTCACCAGCATAACTCAAAAAGTTATGGACAGATTTTGATGAAATTTTCATGAACTGTCAGAAGTAGGCCAAGGAAGAGATGATTAATTTTTGGTGGTGATCCGGATCAATAATTGATCAATAATCAATAATAATCACGAATCGCTGCCTTGGCAGAGGTCTGTGCTCTCGGAGTGCTTTTCTAGTTAGAACATGACTACTTATACCTCGCCTTCTTTGTTCAGGCTCATACTTTCTTGTCTGACTAATGCTAATTTAAAATAAACGTCAGGTAATTAAGAGAAATTGTGATGTTTTTGTGTTTTGTGAATAGTGTGTGTCACTTTGTATTAAACATCACATTTGGTATGGCTTGAAAGTCTCTCTTATTTCTTATTTTTGATTCAGAGATAATTTTGTATCAGACGTTTTCTTATTAACACAGGGTCCAGTGCCATCACCAAGAGCAGCTCACGCTGCTACAAGAGTGGGGAACAAAGTGTATTTGTTTGGAGGAAGGCACTGTAGTCAGAGACTGAATGATTTGCATTGCCTTAATTTAGACACAATGACTTGGTCAGGAAGGTACAGAGTTGTGATCTCAAACTTTGTTTTTGCCTAGCTTTTTTTATGGGAAGGCCATGCTTAATTAGAATAAAGTAGTACTATTATAAAAAAACATACTTAAATCAATAGCTACTTTGCCTAACTTGAACGATTTATTTAAACAATATCTTATATATACAAGTTTAATTACTATTTGTCACCCGTCACTGTACTTTCTCATAACATTAAAAAGTCAATGAATTTCTGTCTAGCATCTGATTCGTGGATTTCAATTAAGACATGATCAGCATCTTTTGATAAGCTTATAAGTTTGTATCCTCTCTAATTTCAGCCTCCATACTGGTGGTAGTATTCCAGTTGGGAGATCCTGGCACACTTTTAGTGCTGTTTCCAGTACTGAAATATTCCTGTATGGTGGATTCACCCAGGATAATGATACCTTATGTAAGTATTGTTTTATTTTTATTTTCCGTTTAATATGGGTGTGGCCACAGTGACTTACCTTACTTGATAATGCAGATTTAGTTCACTTTATCAAAAATGTTAAGTGGCTATGTTATTTGTTAAGATGCAAAACCAAATGATCCTAGAGGAATTTGATAGTGGAAATGAAGTATTTTATTGTTTTAACCAAAATCATTCCTATGCATCCTCAGAATGACCACCGTGAAACCTTGAAATTAGATTGTATTTTGTCTCCATTTTTTTTTTTTTTTTTTTTTGGGGGGGGGGGGG